GCTTTATAGGAGTTCCAGTCAATATCGAGTTTTGATTTATGCGCCCTGTTGTACAGTCATCTGGTCACTTTCCTGAGCTCACCGAGATCCCTGTTCCGCCAACTGTGCAAGGGTGGGTTTAATGAAATGTGCTAAGAGAAGATACATTAACGAATTAGTTATAATAGTTAGTTTTGTTACATTAGCGCATTCATTTTTATACCCTACACAACTATGTTGTCAGGGTATTATAGCTTTGTGCAGCCCCAAAAGTTTGTAACGCCGCGAAATGTTGGTCCTAGACCCACCTTTAAGTATACCGATCGTCATATCTCGACTAGCTGAGTCGATCTAGACATGTATAATTTGTAAGCACGATACAGGCCACAGTTATGGACCAATCTTCACGAAATTTTGCATGTAGGATGGGTTCTGACCAATGAAGACCCCTATTGTTTTTGGAAAAGATCGGTTAATATTTAGGGGATAAAATGGACCAAAAACTTTATTTTTGTCGATTTTCTGGTCGCTCCAGAGGCCGCAATTATGACCCAAACACCGCGAATTTTTGCACGTAGAAGGGGATCGGGCCAAAGAATAAGTATGCCTGTGTTGATAAAGATCGGTCAATATTTAGCGGGTCAAGTGGACCCTGACTTTTGTGTGAAAAATTACAAAATTTGTAGTCTATAGCGTATATATTTACCCCTGAATGACATAGACCAAAGAAGTTGAAAATATATTCAAGAGCAGTTGTTGGCCTTCAAATTGATACCAATAACATTGTCATATGTACTCGAATGTGGGAGTTACACGTAAATATTTACAGGTTCTTACGAATTCAAATATTATTTAGTAGCCCATTACCACACTAGAAGGCGAAAATATAGCGGTGACCGCTTTGCAATTTTCCATGAGGGTCCAGGTATGGTCAAGGACAACGCCCGTAATTTTCGGTGATGATCAGATAATAATATTGGGATGAAGTGGACCGAAAACTTAATTTTTTGTTTTTTTCGAGCGGATCTATACGCCACAATTGAAATCCGAACATAACAACACAACCCACGGTGGAGGTCAAGAGAGTGCAAATATTGCCAAAGATCAGAATATAAAACTACACAAAGTTAGATTTTCGTGGAAGTTGTGTAGGGTATCATATGGTCGGCCCCGTCCGACTATACTGCTCCGCGCACTGGTTTTCAAATGGGTAGTGACTTTTATTATGCGGGACCTTTTATAAGTTTATATATCACCTATACAAAGGTCCCATGGAAAGAATATTTTTATTTACTAGATATCCGTAATGCCAAATTACATCTATTGCTGAGGGACAATGCGGCAAAAACCTTCAACATAACGAAAACTTTACCAATATTTTATACGATTAAAAGCATGCAAATACCAAAAAAAGAGAATATGCGACTAAACCCTTCAAAATGTTGGCAATGGAGCGTTACGCTTATATGGGGATATACCAAAACATGGGTTTATATTGATAATTTCCCCATATATGTATGTCAGTCTGTAAGAACCCTTTGTACCAAACTAGATCAACATATGCGACAAAATGTGATTAAAGCCTTAATAATACCGAAATTCGATCGGTATTAAACACTCGACCTTGTGGTGGACGTGTAGAGACACTAAAAGTAACAGAAGTTTATGTGCAAAATGTGAAAGGTCTATCTCAGAAAGGTCTCTATCGATTTTGCTACAGAGGGACGAACATTCCTAAATCGACGTAAAATTGTTTTCCAATCAAGAATGTATAAATATATTTTATGAAGCCTCCCATTAATATTTCAAAAAAAAAAAAAAAAAAATTGCAAACAGAGTAGCAGATGTAATAAATATAGACTATATATCATGGGGAAGGGTATGAAAAGTACTCAATAACGAAATTAAGAGGTTTAGCTCTGCAAGTACTTCGAATTCCTCCCGCCTATGGTAATGTGGTTGTAAATTGATATGCTTAGATATAGGATTCATGGAACGATTGTGTCGGTGTGTCGAATACACGACCAATATTTTTTGGTTTTTAATAAGTAAGAAACCTCCTCCAATTTCGGCGTTTTCAAAAAGATTATAAAACACTTTTTTAGTGATTGAAAATCCGCCTTGTATTTTTGACCGTCGTTTATACTGCATTTTAAGTATTCTGACAAACTATTATTTATCTCTTCGCAACACTCTTTTACTTAACACCCTTGTTACCCAATAAATCTTCTGAATACTCTTTAAATTGCCAGCCAATGTTTAAACGTTTTATAGCCGCATGCCCATAAACATTTGATGGCCCTATCATTTTATTAGGAAATATCCCATATTATTATCTCATAACGTTGTCACCATCATCTCACCTTAGCATATTTGCTGATGTTGATGACAGCATTTTTGAACAACATTATTTACTTTTAAGTAGTTAAGCGGATTGTCTTCAATCGTTTTTACTGACATTCGGCATTTGTTGTTATTATTTTGTTTTTCATTCTGTTGGACAATTTCAATAAGTTAAGTGTGCCAACAATCTTAACAACATTTCAATTATTGTGTGTGGTTAATAGGTATAAAGTTGACAAATGGTCTCCCTGGGATTTCACAAAAAAAAAAAAAAAAAAAATAAATAAATAAAATAAATAAATATTTTTTTAAATATTTTTAACTTATTTTTGTTTTTGCAAAAAGTCAACCTATTAGATTTATGAGATTTGTGGGAATTTTTAATAACTTTCAGAATGTTTTTTTTTTAGAACTTACATACTTGTATGTTAGCCACAAATATTTTTTATTTTTTACTTTCATTTTCAAAAGAATTGATTAAGTTTATGTTGTAAGTGTATTATAGCTTTGTGTGGCTCCAAAAGTTTGTAACTCCGTGAAAAATCTAGGCATGTGTGTGTGTGTCCGTCCGTCTGTCCATTGTAATTTGTAAACACGATACAGACCAAAGTTATTGATCAATTTTAACGAAATTTTGCATTTAGAATGTGTTGTGGCTAAAGAAAGACCCTATTATTTTAATAATGATCTGTAAATATTATTAGGTTGTGGAAAATGTCGGTAAAATCGGAGAAATTATCGAATTTGACAGGCATGTAAGCAGTCTTAACCACGCCCAGGAGCTAAAAATCTACCTTTAAACTGTTTTAAACCATTTACACAAAGCTGGATTAAAAAAAAGCTCGATGTTTGGCTGCCACACCAATTAACAGAAAAAAATAGGATGGATCGATTTCTTAAACGGATGGCGACTGTTGATGAGAAAAACGAACTGTGGCCAAACCAGGACTAACGACCAGGAATATTCTTCTATGCATTTGGTGGGACTGGAAGGGGATTATTTAGTATGAGTTGCTTCAATATGGCCAAACGCTAATTTCTGATCTCTACTGTCAACAACTGGACCGTTTGAAGATAGCAATTGACCAGAAACGGATAGAATTGGCCAACAGGAGAGTTGTCGTGTTCCACCAGAACAACGCTAGAACACACACATCTACAGTGACTCGCCAGAAACTTCGGGAGCTTGGTTGGGAAGTTTGAATGTATCCGTCATACAGTCCGGACTTGGCATCAAGCGATTATCATATTTTTCTTTAAATTGCAAAATTTTTTTAATGGTAAAAAATTGGTATCTAGGGAGGATATTTTTTTTGAAAATAGAGAGCAGGACTTCTATGAGAGGAGCATTATGAAGTTACCTTTAAAATGGCAACAAATCATACAACGAAACGGTGCATATTTGGACAAATCGGATATTCCGAGGCATGTTAAATAAAGTCCTATAATTCATATAAAAATAATGGATTTCTTTTTTCCCAGCCCAATATTTGGGAGATGAAATGGACAAAAAACTTAATTTTTGTATGTCGCTCTGGTTGCTACAGAGGCCATAATTATGACCCGAACATCACGAAATTTTACACTAAGGTGGAATTATGGCCAAAGAATAAGCATTGATGTACTCGGATGTGGGAGTTATACGTAAATACATAAGTGTTATGATATTGTTTAGTAATATTATTATTACCCTAATATAGGCTGAAATATCGCACTGATCGCTTTGAAATTTTACATGAAGTTTCGGTTATGGTCAAAGAAGGCGCTTACAATTGTCCGTGATGTTGAGATGATATTTAGTCAGATTTTCTAGTCGCTCAGAGGGTAAAATCAACCAAAACCTAAAGTGAACAAATTTTTATTTTAGGGCGAAAATATGCAACTCGGAAAACCAGATTTGGAAAATATGCCAGTGTTATAAAATGGAGTTGTTGACATATAATCGGTCAAGAGGGTGCAGAAAGTTAAATTTTCTTTTTAGTTGTGTAGGGTATCATATGGTCGGCCACGTCCGCTTATACTGCTCCACTCAATGGTTATGGTTTACGATAATATATCCGTGGATCATTGATCCAATTATTAATACATAGATAAATCATTATATATTTGGGCTTGGAAACTTAATTTCACATAAATAATATGGCCGGGCTCTTATTCACAAATTAATATTTTTCGCGCTACCGCAATCACCATGAATTATGCAACAAAAAGACATAAATGTAATGATTTACACCGCAAATACCGTAAAAATAATTTATAACTACATGCCGGTTATAACGACTGTATCCAAAGTCAAGAGAAAGTCTGCCCTTTATTTCATATCGTTTATAATGACATAAGCGGTATGTAGCGATCAATTTCGCCGGTCCCTTGGCTGTCGTAAACCTTAATCTTTGGATAATGAAAAGAAATGGTTAATACTTTTTAAATATAAGAATCGACATTTTTATTATTTGTTTTTTATATTTACTATATTGGACTCAAACATATTCTTATAAAGGTTTTTCTCTAATTTGCATTTCAGCATACTTATACGAATAAAAATGAGTGTTTTTCCAATGATACCAAGTAATGCCGAGTGTTTTTGCATCTGCCTCGCTTTTATATGGGCCAAATAGGTTACTGCAAAAAAAAACAAAGTTACAAAAAATGTAAAGTAATAATAATACGTTGCATACCTGTGAAAACAATTGTTATACCACCAGTTACCTTTATAAACATAGGCACAATTACCGTCATTTTTCTTGTCATTATCCTCATCAAAGGTAGTAAACTTCTGTCCTTTACTGTATGTCATTGCATCACCAGCATTTCCGCTATAATTGCCTAGCAACATCAGTTCGTATTTTTCTGATTTATCAGCAATTCGAAAGCCATCATAGATGGCATAACGTTCTTCACCCTCCCAATCTTTTAAAATCACTTTTAATTCGACATCGGGAACAGTTGTCGTTAATTTATGCAATTTGTCTAGTCCAATGAAGAATTCGCCATTAGGTGGATTTCCAAAGCCTTTTACAAATTGACTCCAACTACGGTAAAAATTGACAGAACCATCCATTCGTCGGAGAATTGTTGTCCAATTTTGTAAAATCTCAACGTTTTTTCTAGAATAAAAATCGATAAAAATTAGTTTTAAGAGAAGAAGTCGAAAACATATAGTCTATCAGCAAAAAAGTAAAAGAGGACCGAACCATCCACAATGCAAATTTTGAGTCAATTACTTGGATTTCTACATTTCTTAAATTTGGACCTAAGGAGGACACTCGGACTGACTGAACACCCAAAGGGCATTCGGATAAATGTAATCCAGAATATACAAGTCATGGGTTGAGGATGTACTTCGGTTGGTAAAAGCGACTAATAAAAGCTTACTAATTATAAATAGTTTCATACATACGTATAAGCTTCCTCCGAAGTGACATCCATTCTCGATACGTGCTCCAGTATTTTCTTAATATCCTTTTCTTGTTCGTGTTGCCTGAAAATAGAGAATGCCATTTTAGTTCCGTAGAAAATTTGAAGTCACTTAAAAGATTGAGGTATTATTTTTATCCATTGTACGGTGTATCTTTAATAACAATATCACTACCTTTTGTTCAATTCGTCAATTCTGAAATGAAAAAGAAAACGCAGTTATTTTAAATATTAAAACCTTTGCTTATTTTGAGTCGTAATAAAATATTTACACCCAGTGAGCGGGTGTAAATATTGTAAATAAATATTGTGTAGGGTATCATATGGTCGGACAGGGCCGACCATATGATACCATACACAATTACTACGAAAATCTAACATTATGCGGTTCTATATTCTGAGCATTGTAAAATTTCGCGATATGTTCACCCTCTACATCGATTATAGGTCAACAGCTCCACTTCCTAACCCTGACATATTTTGCAAATCTAGTTTTCCACTGTATTTAAAGTATACAAAGTATTTAAAAGTTTGATCTTCTGCATATAATAATGACTTCTAGAGCGACTAGGAAATCTCACAAAAATAAAGTTTTCGGTT